GATAAATATCATGCATGAAATATAAAATACCCAAAAACTTGAACAAAAAGCATAGTCGTTATCTTCTCTATACTTAAGATTCTTAAGTTAAGAATATCAGCTCCGTTTACGTMCGACAAAAGGATTTTATTTTCCGAGCTTTCGGATCAATCAATCAAAACCAACTCATGCATAATTAGTCTTTCCCAAGACGTCTCCAACAGTMTTCACTGAATATATTCAAAASAAGACCCCAGTTTTGGATTCAATGGTGTCTCTTCGAAAAATTAAAGACATGTACCAAGTGCTAAGAGTSWAATTYCTTGCTGTGTATAGTTCTGTTGCCATTTCTTGAATTGTCGGTGACTATGGCGACTGTGTGTAGGGAGTTACAAAGAGTATGGTTTATATTTTATTTCAGCATTCTTCCAAAAAGAATGTTTCTTCCAAAAAGAATGCAAAAGGAATGAAATTTAGTTGAAAATTAAAGAGGTTTTTCATTTAACAAAAGTTCTTTCTGTCATACATCTTGGAGCTGGGATAAAACCACGAGAAAAAACGCTGGCAACAATAAATGCAAGCTCACCCACAGGAATCCCACAATTTCAATTTTCGTCGCACAAATAGACAATATATGTTTGTGACARAAAGCATGATGGGAGTTTTAGTCCTCGCACTTTTTAATGTCAACAAAAACACTCCCACTAGGCGAATTATTTTTTTCTTTGAAAAAACATAGGACTAGTTGTGCCGGTTTGACAAAGAATATACAAACGGCTAATAGAGATATTTTTTAGGGATAATTGTTTTGCAAAAAAAATATTTTTTTGTGTGGAAAAAGTTGCACATTGCTTATTCTCGTTTGTCAGTTGTAATTCTCAATCACAGCAATCCGTTATTTTCAGTCATCAGCCAGATTCATCTTTTTTGATAAATCTCTCTTGTTCTTCTTGTAATAACTAGATAATGTCAGTACATGATACATACAAAGCATCCATAACTCGAAACAGAATAATAGTTATAATACCTTAAATGAGCAAGTTCTTTAATTATCTTTTATATTTATACATACTCATTAGTTTTATATTGACGATTTTAACCAATTGAATGTACCATTTGACATATGAACTGAGCCGGCATGTCACTACTTGGTACACACTGCGCATGTCAGTTCCCGTCCCTCCACGTAAGGAAGACAAGGCAGAGAACCACACCTTCCTTTTACACCGAACAAATAAGCTCCGGCACGACTACGATAGCTTCCTTTGACAGGCTCAGCATCTTGATCCACGCAAATGAAATTTTTCTGATTAGCGTGATTGTAACACTCYGACACGAGATATCCCCAGTACTCTTTGGACCATCCCGCGGGACACTCATATGTTGCCGGGATCATCAGTTTAGTGTTGCGGTTTGAAACAAAGCATACAGCACAAGGGACGTCGTGATTGTGAAGGTTCTTGTTGTGGAAAGGGTTGGGATGATTGGTGGAATGAACCTGGTACTCTGCACCATACATGAATGCTGAATACTTTTTAAGGACATTTGTGTAGCTCCAGTACTTAGGAGACTCAGTCAGACATACATAGTTGGAACCTCCRCCTCTATGGCCGTAATGCTCTCCTCCTACACGACCTGAAGAGAAAAATTGCAATCAGACATTTCCAATGCGCATATTTGCATGTAAAGAGAGGAGATG